ATATTTTATTGTGATGCCCTGACATTTTTAAAGGAGATTATTCTGAATTTGGAATTCAGCCATTTCATAGATCAATTCTTCTGTGGCCATTATAGAACTTTGTTGATTTCTTCTGGGGTGTCATATTTTTCTGATTTTTCATAATCCTTGTATATTTATATTGACGCCTCAGCCTTTCTGGTTTTTGCAGGTGTTTTTTGTGGTCTTAGACTATTACAACTTAATGTCAGAATTTAATTGCTGGCCAACTTTTGACTCTGACTGGGTAGTACTTAGTGCGTATCAGAATTTAAATGCTGCAATGAAATGAAATCACTGCTTTACCATTGTTTGTTATTTGGAAAAGAGTTATTCCAAGCATCAGAACTTACTCAACATTTCATCTGCTTTTGGGTCAGGAGAAGGTGCCACACAAACCAAAAATGGACTTAGGCATTTTCAGGGCTCATAACCTCTGCAGTGCTATGAGACTTGACAGTCTCCTCAGCATGGCATTGCTGCTGAGCAGAATGCAAAGCAGCTACCAAGATCCACAGGACAGTTGCTGCAATCAGCTCTCCTGATTTTATCTTTAATTCACCCAGGTCATTCAGCCCTCTTAGAATTCTCAGTATTTTCCATGGGATGAGGCCCATATGGACTTCCCAGGAATACTCCTCATGATAGGATAACTGAATGTTTATTTTCAACTCCCAATTCCTTCCTACTCAGAAATCCCAAATGAAAAGAAATTTTCTGTGAGACGTGTTATGTGGCTTGGGGTAGTGGGTAGCACATTCTAGAATCATCATTTATTTTATCAGTCACAGTTTCTCTCATTTCTGCAGGCTCCCTCAGTTTTTCTGCTTCTCTCTCAAGTTCTAGTACGTTCATGGTAGTTTTATTGTCTTTGAATAGTTGCTACTTATGCCTTTGTGGGGGAAGCAATGTTAAGTGTCTTCTATTCTTTATCTTGCTGGACAGAAGATTTTGTAAATTGTGAATATAATGTACAGTTATCTGTTAGAGAACTTGAAATAATATATACTTTCTAGTTGACTAATTTTACTAATTTTGGCTATACTATAACAAACTGTTTTTAAGTTTAAAGTCATTGTATTATGACTGAACTAAAAAATTCAGGTTTTTTTTTAATGGTTTTTACTTATTTATTCAAAGTATCATTTTGTTCACATATTGTTTTCTTGATCTTGTTTCATTGGCTACCTGAGTTCACATATAGCTCATTGAACTTCTTTAGGACTTAGTTTTTAATCCTTTATGAAGCTGCTTAAGGATCCTCATTTGTTTAAGATTAGTTATGAAATTTTATTAGTTTCATTTGGTAACATCATATTTGCCTGATTCTTTGTGTAGCTTTGCATTGGTGTCTATGCATTTGAAAGTGAAAATACTTCTTCTAGTCTTTGTGGACTGATTTAGCAGATAAAAACATTCTCCTGTTTTGTCAGCAGACTGACATCAGATGGTTACAAAATTTCTAATAGTTACAAGGCATACAAAATGAACATTTATCTATATAATATAGCCAATTTCTACTTAAAGAAACAAATCATATATTAAAAGGCTTTAATAATCAGAGAAAAACATTTTTTATTTAAGCTTTGGATTTAAGAAGCAAAATAAAAATAAAGCAAATTTTGAAGAACAAAATATATAATTTATACATGATTCTAATCATTTAACAGATGAATCATTAAAGTATCAAAGAACTAGATATTTCAAAATAAAATAGCATAAAATTCTGTCAGATAATAAGGTAATTATATCTTAGAAGTATACATAGTTTAAGATAGCTCATTGAAATGACTTAATGTATCATATAATATGTATAACAATATCATATATATTAACTAAAAGATGACAACTATATGCTGAAAACATATTTTTTCCAAAGTACATACCTTAAGATTAAATACAAAATACAAATAAATATATCACAAGGTAGAAATGTCTCAAACCACAAAAAAGAAAATGTGCATGAAACAGTTAGGCACGTGTCAGGTTATATATTCTATGAAGAGCAATGGCTTGTTTTATTCTTCCCTCTTTCCTTCCATTTCTTTCTCTTTACCTTCATTTTCCTATCCTTTTTAAAAATTCTCTTGCATCTCTGAAAATTTCCTGTTTCCTTCTAGTAACTACTAAAGAAAATGAAAGTTACACAAGGTCTACTCAAAGGCTATGAAATTAAAAAGGAATTAGAGAGAATTTTAAAATTCAAATTAAAAATATTATTGTAATTTCAAACAGCTTGGATAGAAGGAAAAAAATTAAACGGAAAAACCATGAACTTCCCTTAGTGAGAGGTGGAGCCGGAGTGTCAGAATACAGAAAGGAAATGCAAATATAGTACTGTCTGTCTTTAGTTCCTTTATACCATCAAGAAAACTTTGACCTCACCATGTTGCAAGAGAATTAATCATCATTTCCACATTATGCTCTTTCTTTTAACAGACTGTGAATCATAGAAAAGAAATCTATTTTGGCTTAACTCTCACTAAATACAAATGGTACAACTGATTGTATTTATTGTCTGCTATGGTGGTTTCCCATGCAGGCTTTCCCTTTATTAGGAGCAAACAACTACAGAGGAAGGAAAGTAGTGCAGAAAGTAGAAGAGTAGAAATGAGAATTCTGAGTGAAAAAAAATAAAACAAGAAACTTTTGCAAATAAATTGATCCCATAGTGTAAGAGCAATCTTAGAAAATAGGATTTGGTCTGAAACCATTTCTTGTTCTACTATAATTATTTATATATTCCGGATGAGATAAGACATTATTCAACTTCTACACAGAAACCACCAGTGCTGATTTTTCTAGGCATTATGAAGAAAAACACACTTAGGTGGTTCCTGTGATCATGTCATATATTTCAGTCAGTGTTAATATTAAAGTCCTCATTTTCAGTGTTCTCCTCAAAACACCTTTGATTTTATATTTTTTGTTAGGCATGAATGAAAGAAAAAGGACATTCTGTTTATTGGAAATGGAGTACAAATAAAAATGGTTTTCACAACCCTAAGGCTATATGTAGAGTAGAGAACTGAATTTGCAGTTTTGGCTTAACTAATTGGTCCCTATACTCAATGGAAAATGTGAGCTACAAATGTCATGAGCAAAATAAGGCATATCTAAGTTCTAATCCTATCTGTAACACTTACAACTTTGGAGAAGGTAGTAATCTCCCTCAACCTCCATTTTTTAAATGATACAGGAAAATAGTAACATTTTCAGTTGCCTGAAGTTGTTATAAATATTTGTTGAGATAAATGTAAAATAGATAGAGTGTTTATGATATAAAATGCATTAAATATGTTTTTATTTTTAATGATGGTATGATTAATGATTTTAACAAACTTAATTCTAATTATTAAAATGCAAAAAATGCAGAAAAGAACAATCTTCTTATTGTTCAGAATAAATCCTTTCTTAAAATCTTGCTGTATTTCCTTTGGATTTTATCATTATGTATTTACTAAAAGTAATATCTGATTATTATACAAAGTTCAAACAAGAGAGAAAAAATATATAATAATAAAATAAAAACAATTTATATCACAACAGAAAAGTTATTTGCTTTAGATTAATCTTATTACAAATAGAGATAGAGATGAAAGATTACACGATTAGAAAGAAGGTAGTCAAGTTTAAAATCCAGGTCAGCTAATACCTAAGCCTGGAGTTCCTCTTTAAAGAACATTTATTCTCAAATTATGATTTCTGAGGAAATTTGATTCTATATGTCCGAGTTGTGATTTTTATACGTGCATCACAGTATAATATGGCTATCGGTATCACTGATATCAATTGTCGCCTTTGGTTTTGTAGCCCATTATTTTCAATTACTTGTGTAGTCTTTTTGTGTGTCTTAATAAAATAATTTTTAAATCTTTAAATTGCTGTTTTCTTCTTATGACCAACAAGGCTTTACTCTAAAAATTTAAAACTTTCCGAATCAGTTCATTATAATCACTCACTATAAATATTAATCACCAGGCCAAGAATATGTCTTAATTTATACTGTATTTAGTGCTAGGCATACACACACACACACACACACACACACACACGCACACACACACACACATATATATTTTTGAGATGGAGTCTCACTCTGTTACCCAGGCTGGAGTGCACTGGCTTGATCTTGGCTCACTGCAACCTCTGCCTCTCAGGTTCAAGTGATCCTTCTGCCTCAGCCTCTAGAATAGCTGGGATTACAGGCCCCAGCCACCACACCCGGATAATTTTTGTATTTTAGTGGAGATGAGGTTTCACCATGTTGGCCAGACTGGTCTTGAACTTTTGATCTCAAGTGATTCACCTGCCTCGTTTTCCCAAAGTGCTGGGATTACAGGCATGAACCACCAAGACCAGCCACATGATATCTGTTCAACATTATGTATGAAAGAGAAAAGACATCTTTACCAAAATCATATATTGTAATAAATATTCTTGCTTCGTTTTGGTTTTCGGAAACCTGTGGAAATATCTTAAAATTTTCTAGAGGTTTTAGAATCTGTTTTATCCTTTTTGGCAGAAGTGTCACAATATCATAACTTACTATGAAACTGACCATGGATTTCCAGCAGGTGCCATATGCTGAGCAGAAACAAGCGAGGACATTGTTTTGATTAGGCTGTTTTATAAACTCACCACAGCTGAACTAACCCGATCAAAAGTCATGGTTCAAACTATGTATCATGCAGTAGTTGTTGGATAATACGTGTATATATCCTTGATTATCCTATGTCCTTAATCATACTGTAAGATTTAGAAATGTAAGAAATCTAAAGCAAACCAATTAATTTATCTCACTGTACATTTAAGCCAACAAGGGCCCAAAGAAACACATCCCATGAGAGTAAAGGACACAGCTAGTTAGTGGCAGAACAGGGCTGAAAACCGGAAGGATATTTTGACATCTAACCAAGCCTTCTTTCTTTTCTCACTGTTGTTTTACTGACTGCATTTCTCATTTTCTTTCCTTTTCTAAGATCCAGACAGAACTCCTCTTAACTAACATTGAGGGATGGACCACTGTGGACTGTGGTAGGTGCTATTTTCTCATGTAGTTTATAAGGTTTATCTATTTTTTTCATTATGTCAACTTTAAACCAATCTGTCACAGGTTTTTAATACTTCTTATCAAAATTATTGAAAATATGGAAATTATTTTTGCTAAAATGTCAACAATTTACTTCAACCAAATACAAGGATACCTCTATATTGAGTTTTGCTAAAGTTCTGATTTTTTTTTAATGTGGGCATCCTTAAGTAATTATCTAATATATACATGATATCATCCAAGGTACTGGAAACATTTTCTAAAATGGCTACATAAAATATTTAATCTTTATTTTAAGGATTTATATCTGATACAGGGCAAAGTCTGCATTGGAAGATTTCCTCATATTAAAATAGAATTCTTCTTTTATTATTCAAAGTAAGATGAATAGAGATTCAGAGAATTTTTCCAAACACAGTAGAAGAAATATCTGACAAATTTTAAACTTTATTAATTGACAAAGACAATTTGGCAAAAGTTTGTAATTAAACTTTTTGGCCAAAAAAGAAATAGAATTACTATTTTCAGCAACAGCAGCAGTATCATCAAAAATGAATATTTTACATATCTTTTCTAGACTCAATTATCTTTTATTCTTAGAAATACCTCCTTAGGCAAACTCCAATTGACAATGATTTTGGCAAATCTCAGCTTTATTTTGATGACATCATTGAATGTAGCATTGGGAAGAGAGGTGCACAGTTGACACTTGCGTGCCATTACAAATTGGCTCCAACAAAATACTATATAAATTGATATTATCAGATAACATTATATTAGTATAGAATTCTTGTCGTATTTCACATAGGAGTTATTTGAACAGACTCTTAATGTCCTTTCAATACAATGGAGAAAGACTTATGTTCTAAGAAGAAAAAAGATAATGCAACTACCCAAGGGATTTTCCTTGCCCTTTGCCTATACAGAGCTGATTTATCAAGACAGGAGAATTGTAATGAAGAGTTTAATTCTTACAGAACTGGCTGTACAGGAGCCAGAGTTTTATTATTACTCAAATCAGTCTCTCTAAAAACTTGGGTATGGAGGTTTTTAAGGACAATTTGGTGGCTAGGGGATTGGAAAGTGGGGAGTGCTGACTGGTGCTGTCAGAGATAAAATAATTGGGAATTCCAGCTGTCCTCTTGCACTGAGTCAGTTCCAGGGTGGGGGCCACAGGACCAAATAAGCCATCAAGTACAGTGTCTGCAAAATAGCTCAAGCACTGATCTGAGGTTTTACAAAAGTAATGTTATCCCCAGAAACAATTTGGAGAGGTTCAGAATCTTGTATCTTCCAGACGCTTGACTCCTAAACCATAATTTCTAATCTTGTAGCTAATTTGTTAGTCCTGCAAAGGCAATCTAGCCTCCAGGCAGGAAGGGGGTTTGTTTTGAGATGGAACTGTTAACATTTTTGTTCCAAAGTTAAACTATAAACTAAGTTCCTCCCCAAAATAGTTCTGCCTAAGCCCAGGTGTAAATAAGGACAGCTTAGAGGTTAGAAGCAAGATGGAGTCAGGTAGATCTCTTTCATTGTCATTATTTTTTCAGTTATAATTTTTGCAAAGGGGGTTTCAGTAAGATCTTCTGTACTGTACCTCTTGAGTTGAGGGGCTTTGAATATAAAGATGAAAATAAAGGTCTTTTATTTTTACTACACATATGATTTCTTCTGTTTTGTGTAAGCTACAATGTGGACTCCGAATATCTATCATTCTGATGTGCTTTTAAAAGGCAGTGTTGGGGCAGGTGTGGTGGCTCACACCTGTAATCCCAGGACTTTGGGAGGCTGAGGCAGATGGATCACGAGGTCAAGAGTTAGAGATCAGCTTGACAAACCCGGCGAAACCCCATCTCTACTTAAAATACAAAAAAAAAAAAAATTAGCCAGGCATGGTGGCATGCCCCTGTAATTTCAGCTACACAGGAGGCTGAGGTCAGAGAATCACTTGAACCTGGGAGGCAGAGGTTGCAGTGAGTTGAGACGGTGCCATTGCACTCTAGCCTGGGTGATATTTCCACAGGTTTCAGAAAACCAAAACAAAGCAATCTTCCACATATGGAAGATTTTGCAGTTAGAGTTCCTTTGTTTTCTATTCCATAGAATGCTGTCAGTTTTTGGTAGATATATTTAGAACAATAGTTATTAAGGTATGGTTTTTTACTCCAAATTTCACTGCAACCCTCTCAGTTGGTCCAATAAAATTTTTTTCTTAATAACGCTAAGAAAGTATTTGCCTTTCTTACCGTGTGTGCAATTGAATTCATACTACAAAAGCAGTGATACATAAAATCATTGATGTGTTAACAGGAACTGAGGCAGTGATATCAAAATGTACAAACTGTCATAATTTTTCTTGCTACACAGGTGGAAAAAATGCCTGTTTCACCTAAGAACGTGTTAGAAAATTATTGATTGTATTACATTTTTATTTTGAAAATATGTCTTTATATTCTATGTGATAAAAATGAGAAATATTTATAAAGTGCATTGCTGCTGCCCATGCAAGTATAAAGATTGTAACAAGAAAAATAATTGTGCAGTTGTTTGACTTGTGAGCTGATGTAGCTACCTATTGCTATTAAACATCATCTTCACTTGAAAAAATGACTGTCAAAGTATTGTTATTCAGAATTTTGTATGGGGAGTTAAGTAATGCAACTGTTAACTTAAAGGAAAACAACTATTTCTGTGTTGCAAATAATGAAATTTTAATTTGAAGAGAAAGAATTTTGCAAAACTTTTATCCACCATTATGAGCCTGACAGTTTCTAAGTATAGGAAAATGTTTCTGACAAGCTCAATTTTGATATTAACATGTGATTATTAAAATTCAGTCTAGTTAAATGTATCAACTTTTGTGAAATTTACACAACTCAGCAAACTGATAATTTTTCAAATGATCAGTGACGTTACAAAAAATTCACTTTTTATCTAAGATGTATCAATGAACTTAAACTATTATGAGAAGTTCATTGGTAACAATTTTCACTTCAAATTGCAAGTAATCTTTAAGAAACTACTATTTGTAAAGCTCGGTGTAATTAGAACTACATAAGGCTATTAGATACTAACTAATAAGGCTATTAAAATACTTCTCCCTTTTTCAATTACATATCTATATGAGTCCAAATTTTCTTCACATACTCAACCAAAACAAAATATTACAACATATTGAATGTAGAATCCATTGTGAGTTCACATATATATTAAGAGAATGAGAGATTATATATACTGGGCATGAAGAAAGTATAAGACCAACAAATACTTTATTGATTTAAGATTGTGAGCTTTTTTTTTTTTTTGGCCATTAGGTAGACTATATGAAGAATTATAAACCATGTATCTTCCCCTAGAGCTATTGTTACATATTTTAAGGCTTCAGTTTTTCTTCAGGTATAATGGAATATGTTGAAGGCTCATAATGTACTAATAGTCAGTGTAAAGATTTGTAAACTATATTCTACAACTCATTGGAAAATGTAATAAATACATTAATAAAATATTTTGGGTACATCATCAGAAAACAGTTTTATATATTGCATGTGTTTGTTGGTTTTTGCTGATTATAAATCTGTACAGTATTGTAACAGAGGCGGGGTGCAGGGTCTCAGCTCCCTCCCTGGCTTGCCAAACTTGTAACCGGGACACGAGCAGAGCTGTGGGGGCATCCCAAAGAGCTTCCTCTTCTCCAATCTGATGTTTTCTCTAATGTGCCCAGGTCCTTGACCTCTCGTACCCCAGGAGTGGGGAAGGGGTCCCGGAGACGCCCCTTGTGGACTCAGATTTCCTTAACACAGTCCCTCAGTAATTTGGTGTCCTTTACAACAAGAATACTTATCAGGACTGAAGCAATAGCTTTGATTGTTGAATCTCTGGAACAATACTTAAAATTCATGAGGGTTAGATATTTTGATAACTCAGGTTGCTTAAAATAACAAAACAGTTTTTGTGTGGCACTTATTTAGAATTACTGGGAATATTAACATCATTTATTGTAGAAATTTACTAGATCAGCCTTCTTACTCAAAGTCATGTTAATGAACAGTGAGAGTTAATCCAACAAATATTTATTACATATGTTACAATTAGTGGACTGTACGCTGAGAATTACTGTGAAGTTAACAACAAAAAAAAAAACAGTCTAATGCAAACATAAAGGAAAATCTGGGTATACTTTTTTTTAATTAAGTTTGAGGCACAAATGATCTAGAAACAATTCAAATTACTGATTTTATTCCTTTACAGACTTAACCTAAGAATTTGTGGGAAAGCATCAGTGCCACTAGCAAGCTGCAATTTCTTTACTTTTTATGACTCATTTGTCTCTGCTTATGAAAATGTATTATTCCAATGTATTATTCACAACTCCAAATGCAACTGAGAAAGTAAAAACCACCTGAATTTGTCTGTCCCTTATAGTCTGTCAACAAATTCCTTAAATAATGTAATTTTTACTTCTTCCAAAAAAGGTCAGAGGGTACAATAATAGTTGTATAAGTAAATTTATCCAAAATAATTTTCATTCAATGAATAGTAGAATACAATTTAAGTTCAACAACTATTATGTCAACATCTACTTATAATTACATTAACAATATTGCTAAATCACAGTTTTTCTATGAGAAGATTGACTTAAAATTAATTTTAAACAGTATTTTATGCAGACATACAATAAATATTTATTATTGACTTTTCTGGGCTAAACACTGTTAGATATAAGAAGAAGCAGAGAGATTAATAAGAAATTACTTTTCACACAGAGTTAAATATCTCTGTGCTCTCTAATTTTTCCAATAGAATAACATTATCTTGGATGGATGCAGTTCCTCCAAAAGTTAGTTTTTCAAACACACTTAAAAAATCAGTACTTTTATTTATAGATTCTTAGCAAAGCATTTTCTTCTGAATAATGAAAGAAAAATTCTAACACTGGATATTTTTAGGTCAATAACTATGCAGCTTTTAATCTACTTT